ATTTTGTTAGGGGATGTATCACTGTGGGAGGAGCCTGTATTCGTTGTTCACAGTAATAAACACCAACATCCTCAGGCTCCACTTTGTCAGTTTTCAGTGTGAAATCGGTCCCTGACCAGTGTGCCACTGAACCTGTCAGGGACTCCAGAGTCATGACTGGAAACTTTGTAGATCAGGCGCCGTGGAGACAGGCCTGGCCTCTGCAAGTACCAACTCAAGATATGTGCCTCTATCACTATACAGGAGGCTCTCACTAGCCCTGCACTTGATAAAGGCTGGCTCCCCAAGGGTGACTGACAGAGAGGGTAGAGACTGAGTCACCATAACATCCCCACTGCATCCTAAAATTATAAGAAAGACTGCAATGTCATGCACACACATTGTGAGATAATATTTATGAATTTTTGTTATTTACTTCCTGCAAATCACACTGTTGCTCTGGTTGCTATTTTAAGAATATACAATATGCTAAAAAAAAAAAAAAAACAGCTACTTGAGCCAGGCATGGTAGCGCATGTCTTTGATCCCAGCACTCGGGAGGCAGAGGCAGGAGGATCTCTGTGAATTCAAGGCCAGTCTGGTCTTAATAGGGAGTTTCAGGCCAGCTGGGGCTACAGGGAGACCTTGTCTCAAAAAGACCAAATAAATAAATAAATAAATAAATAAATAAATAAATAAATAAAAAACAGCTACTTGCAAAGCATAAGGGGGTGGGGGCGGCTCTGGAAGACTCTTACAATATCCACACCCATCAGGGTCAGAGATGTCCCCAAAGCATATACCCTTGATCTTTTGGGAATCTTCATTCCCTCACTGATCTACACAAGACACCCTCCTTTCCTCTCCCTCCCGCTCCCCCTCCCCTCCCATTGCTCTACCGCGTCTTCCTCTGACGTTACCAAGGATCCAGAACAGTAGCAGTCCAAGGACCTGAGCAGGGAACCTCATTTTATGCTATGGAACTAAGGAGGTTTGATCAGTGAGGTTCCAAGACTAGACCTGCACTTCTATATCAGCACTGAAAGTAAAGGTCCTCCCTAGGGAACGGTATGCAAATCCCCTGGTGGGTAGGGTTTGATCAGTGAGGTTCCAAGACTAGACCTGCACTTCTATATCAGCACTGCAAGTAAAGGTCCTCCCTAGGGAACGGTATGCAAATCCCCTGGTGGGTACAGCAGAGCACACAGAGCCAAAGTTGGTGAGGGCCTGGTCTCCTGTGCAAAGTGACAGACAATGCCCTCCGTGTCTGTAGGAACACCCATGCAGTCCATGCAGCTTGTAGCTGTGGGCCAAGGATCCAGTGTGAGAGTGTTATCTGTGGGGAGGACATGGTGCATGGAGTCTTGGCCCTCTGACACAGGCATCAGAGATCCAAAACTATGCCAGTGTGCACCCAGACAATTTCTGAAAGGGGAGTGGCCACCCAGTATAGCTCCCTCTCAGTTAGTCTAGACAATAGCATAGCACCCAAACCCACTAGTTTTGATGCCCAGGCACTTTATCCTTCAGCAGAGACTAGTGAGTTTTTCCCTTATAGGTAGAGAGATCACATCCATTTCGAAGGAAAGAGGGAAAGGGGAGAGATGTTGTACTTCACAGTATGAACATACAATCTCCTGTAACAACCAGAACAATCTGATACACATCTTGCTATATCTTTACTGTATTACGTACCAATAAAAGTATTTCTATCAAGAATTCATTCTGGACAATGGGACTGAAGGAACAAATAATCGTGTTTAATCATATTGTTTCTGAGGAAATTTTCTACACATCTGTCTTTTCCTCTGTAATCAGATCCTCTTAGGTTTGTAGTTTATTTCTTGATCTATGTAACCACCTCAGAATCTCACCTGGTCCTTCTATGGGCAGACACACTCCATGAACACATTCAAGCTACAGCCATGCATTAAGCAGCAAGGACTGGATCCACTGCTTTTAGTCCAGCGTCACCTGCACCTCTGGCTGAGATTTTCTAAAACCTTCACGAAAATATTTGCTGAGACATGGTTGCTGTCTCAGAGCTCACTGAGGCATTAATTTCAGATTTTCAGCAATCATAGCTCAGAGACTATAGGTTTCTGGAGGGTTTTTGTTTGGTTTAATTTGGTTTGGTTTGGTTTTTTGTTGTTGCTTCCAAATTAGAGTTCCAATAAACTAATACTCTCCACTACTGAGACAAGGTCTCTCAGTCAGGCCCAGAGCTCACCGGTACAATTAGTTTGCTAGCTACCTTGCTGTGGGACTCCTGTCTCCATCTTCTGAGGCTGGAGTTATAGAAGGCCCCTACTCCCATCCAGCGTTTGCATGGCTTCTGAGGATCTGAACTCTAATCTTCATGCTTGAGAAGCAAGGACTTTAACCACTGAGTGATATCGTTAGCCCTTTGTAGTGGTTCTTTTTTCCCTTTTCTTCCTCGCATATAATCTTCTTAATGTTTAAGTGAATTGTTTTAGTAGTGTATTTACATTACTTGATTTTAAAAAATATTTAATTATTTTTATTTTATGTGTATGAGTGTATTGTCTACATGTATATAAGTGTTTCCATGTTGTGCAGTCCCTGCAGAGGTCAGAATAGAGCATCATATTCCACTGGAATTTGTTACAAATGGTTGTTAGCCACTGTGTAGGTGCTGGGAATTGAACCTGGGTCTTCTGCAAGAGCAGCCAGTGAGTGCTCTTATCCAATGAGCCATGTCTCTAGTCCCATACTTGGTTTTTCTTACCAGATTATCTATTACAAACTTTACTTTGTGGTTAACAGATGGATCCAAAAATTATGTTTTGACTAGAAGAAACCATTTTGAAATTGCTGGGTGTGGTGGCACATGCCTTTAATACCAGCACTTAGGAGTTAGAGGCAGGCAATCTCTGTGAGTTAGTAGAGGCCAGCCTGGTCTACACAGGGAGTTCCAGGCCAGCTGGAGATATAAAGTGAGACCCTGTCTCAAAAAATACAATTGAAATGATAAAAACGTAACCTGATGTTATAGATGAGGACATAACACAACAAAAGAATAAGAGAAAATGTAATCATAAGAAAACTTTCCAACAACAATACAGTGTGTTCCCACAGTGCACCACTCTCATTTGAGAGCCCCTAATCCATCATGGGTTTTCACAGAAATAACACAGCAGCTGGCCAATGTCAGTGATACAATGTCAGTGGTGGCAGCATCATTGCACCTAGGTATGTCACCAGCTCTGCCTTCCTATGGCCCCACTCCTTGGACATACACATGAACAGCTCAGTATACCTGTGGGTGTCCTGCCTGTGACAGGTATGCTCAGCCAAGCTGCTATCAGGTGTCCATCAGGCCTCTTCTATTCCATTTGTTTTGGTTTTTAAATTTATTTGTTTTCATTATATATATATGTGTGTGTATGCGTGTGTGTGTGTGTGTGTGTGTGTGTGTGTATGTGTGTGTAACTGAGTGTATGTATATGTACCGTGTGTATACGTGCCCCAGAGGCCCAAGAAGGCATCCAGTTCCTTGGAACTGGAATTATAGGTGGTCGTCAGTCACTTTTTGTGGGGCACTAAATCTGTGTCTTCTACAAGAGCAGCAGGTACTCTAACCACTGAGCCATTTCTCCAGCCTCCTCCATTCCATTCTTGAAATGAATAAAGGCAGCGCATTGTATATTGATTGCACATATCATATTAGATGTTATAAAGTCTATATATGACATGATATATAGCATTCATGTACACATGTATATCCTTGAATATAACAAACATTTCACATAAATGTCTTATAAATTCAGTTTTTATTTACAGTAGTATAACAGGGAAATACATGCTATTTTTGATTAAAAAAACATCAATTTTTTATTTGGGCCAACAAATTCCTGATCTGTAACTAAGTAAATATTTAAATCTCTGTCACTTTCATTTTCGGTATCAGTCTCGTTTGCAATAGGCCACATTCCTGCACAGCTATTTACTCAGCCCTGTTAATCACGTAAGAAACGTCAGGCTAAAAAGTGGTAATACAAATTGACTATTCTAAATTTATCTTATATATCTGCTTCCTGATCAAGGTCGATGAAATAAGTAAAGTGTGTTATGCTTCATCTAACATTCTGTTCTGACTCCTCTTCCTCCAGCAGCCAAAGGTGGGCCACAGTCTGAGTATTGTATCAACAACTGAATACAACACAGCCTTCATGTACTCGTTTACTACCCTTCCCAAAGTCCTCAGACTCTTATTTTCCCCCGAGGGGGTGGGGGTGGGGCAGAAATTCACTTCTGTCTGATCTTTAGTTACCAAATTCCTGATTAAGACATGTATGTCCATGCTCTTCCAATTGGTTCTTTATTATTAAAAAAAAAAAAAATCACAAAGCTTAGATTTTTAGAATTGGTCCTTTATTACTTAAAAAAAAATCACAAAGTTTAGAATTCCAAGAATGTTCATTCTATTTGAACATGACGTAGCAAACTATTAAATTTTTGGACCTAGGCCTTTGCAATTGATTAAGTTTACTGAAGTTGGTTCAAGCGTGTGAAATAAAGAATGGGACACTTTTCTTTGTTACTTCACAGACAGGACTGTCTGGTGCTGTATTTCTTCCACACTGGAGAAGGCAGTACACACTAAGAAAAAGTCGAAGTCAGCAAAGAGGACAGAGGAAAACAGGGTCTTAACATCAACAAATACTTTCCTATTCCACCTGCTCAACCAGAAAGAAAATGCCAATAAATCAACAAAAACAGCAATGATGAAAATTTAAAAGCATGCATATGTTTGGGTTGTCATGCATGATCCTTTATCTCAAACCCATGGCTGCAATTATCAATGAACTTAATCTCTGTATGTGAACAAGGCACAGAGAAAAAGGACATCACACCAGATGCCTCTCCTTTCATGCCTGGTTGTCCCAAGGGAATTTGTCTCTCTTTACTGTTCATGTCATGCCAATAATAGAGCAGTTTATAGTGGCCCTAGGGTAGCCAAGGAGATACTTGATCAGATGCCACATCTGTAACATGGGTCATAGAAACTTCCTCCTGTAGAGGCCCAGAGAACCTGCTGTGCTGCTCCCCAGACAAGCCACACATGAGAGCAGCTGGGCCACACCAAGCAGGGGAGTTTTTGTTAAGGGCTGTATCACTGTGGGAGGAACATGTGTAGCTTGCATACAGTAATAAATTCCAAAGTCCTCAGAGTCTACTCTGCTGATTTTGAGTGTGAAATCTGTCCCTGACCCACTGCCACTGAACCTGTCTGGGACTCCAGAGCCCCGGTTAGAAACCGTGTAGATCAGGCGCCATGGAGACTGGCCTGGCTTCTGTAGGAACCAGTACAAATAGGTGTATCCATTACTGTGTAGGAGGCTCTGACTAGACCTGCAGGAGATGGACACCGACTCTCCAGGAGCAACAGACAAGGAGAGAGGAGTCTGTGTCATCACAACGTCTCCACTGGATCCTAAAATGATGAGAGAAGTGTCAGGTTATGAATAAATATATTGAGACTTTTGTATTTT